AGAGACCACAATTAACTTCTGTGACATTCTAAGGGCAAGACCTTTATGTGAGAGACACAAATCATTCACATGTTGTCTATAAGGCTGGGAGATTTTCTCAACCCAGTCAGTGGGTTGAGACTGTTGGGTAAGGAAGCTGGGTTGATTTGACCCAATTTGGGTTGATGATCATTCATAATCAGTAATACAACAGTGTTGGGTTGGGAATGCAGGCATGAACTTCACGCAGGTTCAAAAGCAAAGTATGTGCCGATATCACTTTGCCTTCCATGTTCACAGCACTCATGAAAGGAATATGTGTGGAAAATAGATGAAAACAAATCAAAGCGGAAAGAAGAGAGAAACTGACTGCAATATATTCAACTACTATTCAATACGGAGTGTAAAAGTAAAAACATTAATTTTCTCCATAGGGAATTTGATTTTTAACAAAACTGATAAACCTTTAAAGGCAGACCTGTTGTTAGCTCTTGTTAGGTTTTTAAGTGATGGTATATATGCTTTTGCTTTAGTGCTCTTCAATTCAATTTATTTTTCAAATAATCATGTTAAATAGCAGAATTAGTAGTGAAAAACTACATTACCCATAATGCTGTTAAGAAAATTCCACCAGAGTCACAGCAAACAAAGTGTGCCAAAAGAGCTTTTTAGCTCCGCCCACTATGCAAATGACATAATTTACAGCCTCCCTATGCTATCGAAATAAAATATTTGTATAAATATGCATATTTTGCAAAAAGCGTAAGATATATTATTTCTATAGATACAATCAACAACTGTACATAATTTTATGAATAGTGGTTCATGAACAAAAGGCTTGTTAAAAAAAATCCTATGGGAAAAATTAATAGAAAAAAATACTTATGGAACCAAAGTGGCTGAAAAACTTTTGTCCATATTTGTGTCCATTTCTAGTTGTTCTTGCTTATCAATAAATGTACTTTTTAATTATTACTGTTGATTATGTTTTTACTGTAGTCATTCTGTAGGTGATTTTAATTTCCAATCCATTTTTGGTTACTGTACAGTAACTTTTTGGGGGGGCAAAGCACTGGGTTTGTCCCTTTTTGACCCAGAGCTAGCACACAAGTTGTGTTTGACCAGTTTTTTAATGGCTGATAACAAAATCTAGTGAGAAGTGTGGCCAGTATCAATATAATACTGGTATACTGTATTCAAATTAACTGAATGATAGCAAATGAGGCACAGATGTACACACAATTACTGAAATCAAACAAACATAATATATATTTACTCAAAATTCACAAAAAACACTGAAACCAGGAACTATTTATTACCTATTGACAAGGCTGCTGGTAGATTTTGGAATTGATACATAGATAGATTGATAGATTGTATAATTGACAGTAGGGCTGCACGATTAATCGAATGCGATTGTTATGCGCATTTTGTTAAAAAAGCCGGTTCTGTAATCAGCGGGAAATCATCATCACGTGCTTGCAGATGGAGCAGCATTTACTACACAGAGCCGTAGTTCACTGACAAGTTACGCAAAAAAAATCTCCATTCTGAAATCTAAGAAATCATTCGCGATAGTGACAGCTGTTTGCGTAGCTTCTCAGTGAACTACGGCTCTGTGAAGTAAATGCTGCTCCATCTGAAAGCATGTGAAAATACCACATTTAATAACATATTTTTACTCCAAACTCACTTCATAACGTCAGTCGAGTGTTTGAAATAAATCCTTCTGTGAGATGATGTGGCTTCTTACACAGAAGAAGGCACGCAACATATTTCATAGTATTTAAGCAGTGATAAAGGCATTACATTATAAATATACTTTATTTTAATGAAAATTATAATAAGAACTCAGATAAACCGTATATTGCCGTAGTCGTGTGTTTATTAGTCACATTGAATCAATGAAAGCAGTTA